GAAAAAAAGGAAAGGGGGAAAAAATCTCATCATGGAAGCTGTAGTGTGACACAGTGAGTCACACAGTAAACCCTTCTGTCCATATATCTTTACTTGCAAGTGTTCATTGTAAAGTGTCATTGGTCTGGTTCAAGACCTCTGGTTTCTACTACACTATCCATACTTCACTCTCACTGGAACTCCTCTTGGATATCCCACTGTTGCCCTGTGTTGTAGAGATCATGCAGCTTCGGGTCTGTAGCACTGGTCCCTTCACGTGCTCCTGCAGATCACAGGTAGGGTGGATATTGGAGTGGGCCAACCCATAACCCTGGTTCTGGGCCTGGATAGTTGCAGGGTTGGTCAGCCTGCCAGCTCTCCCTTGTCCTCACCACCAGGGTGAGCTCTCCTTCATTGCCTTGGTGAGTTCACTCTGCAGCAATGAGCAAGGGGTGGGGCCAGTTCCCTTGCTTTCATGTCCTCAAGGTCAGATCTCCCACATCTACACCTTCAGGGTAGGTTGCCCAGGCGTGGCCACTCTCCCGAGTGGGCCACTCTCCCGAGTGCTGCAGCAGATGAGGGGCAGGACCAGCTCTCCTTCTCTTATGACCTCAGGACCAGCTCTCCCACCTGCCTTAGGCATTGATGGGAAATGGGGAGGAGGGCATCTCTCCCTTACCCATGCTGCCACAGGAGAGGTGAGTAATGGGAGCAGCTCTTCCATGTTCACAATATCGGGACTGGCTCACCCACACCTCTGCCAATGGGGTTGGCTCTATTGTGCTACCCAGATGAGGTGCAGGGCCTGCTCTCCCAAGTGTTGCAGGAGCAGCTCTCCTGTCCTTCTGACCTCAGCCCCTTAGTTCTTCTTCTGACATAAGGATTCTGAGTTTATTTCTGGCAGACAGCTTGCTGAATCACATGGTAGTTGTGGTGGTTTGAATAAGACCATACACTTCATTATTTGAATGCTTGGTCACCAGGGAGTAGAACTGTTTGAAAGGATTAGAAGGTGTGGCCTTGTTGGAGGAAATGTGTCACTGGGGGTGGGCTTTGAGGTTTGAAAAGCCCATGCCAGACCCAGTCTCTTTTCTCTGCCTGCAGATCAGGATGCAACTCTTAGCTATTTCTCTAGCAGCATGCCTGCCTTCCTGCTTCCATGCTCCCTGCCGTAATGATAATGGACCAATCCTCTGAAACTGTAAGCAAGCCCCTGTCTATGTAAAAACCATAGCTCTCATCTTACAGGGAATAAGAGATAGTTTATTTTGGAGTCATTATGAGTGACCTGGCTTGGGAACACAGGTTTAGGTTACACCAAATTCTATGTTTCAACATGAAAATAGTTTCATGAAGTTTTTTTTTTAATTTTATTTTATAGTTTTACAGAACAAAGAAAGTCACACATCAAGGTAAATTTAAAATCCATTGGTGGGTACACCAGAGAGGTGGGTACAATGAGATGGGGGAGCTATTCTATAGGCGTAGGATGCTATCTGATGTCATTCTTAGCTCTTGGATTGGTAGAAGCTAGTGATCTGCTAAATCAATAGCTTCTAAGAGTTTTTTTTTTTTAAATTTATTATCACAGGGTGTTAGTTTAGATACAGAGTGGGACAAGGAATGGCTATTCCAGAAGGCTAAAACTAAGCCCAAGACAAATAATTAGCCTCTGAACCTATAAAATTCCCATCTCTTCACAGTGCTGAAAGTTCAATCTGTCCATCAGTCTCTGCAGACACAGACTCCTTCCAGGAGGATTTTGTTCACATCTAGACACAGTTTCTATTCAGGAATTTTCATTTACACCTCCAATTAAATGCTTTTCTTTATGAGAATTGCCTTGGACTTGTGTCTGTTCATAGCAATACAAGAATGAGTAAAACAGTAGTTCTAGCTTTCTTCCTCCTCCTCCTCCTCCTTCTTTTGTTAAAGTTAGAATCTAGATATACAGCAGAGGCTGACCTCAAACTTGAAATTGTTTCTTCTGCCTCAGTCTCTCCATGCTGGGAGTATAGGTGTGTTCCATCACACCTGGCTCCAAGCTGACTTCCTTCCTTCCTTCCTTCCTTCCTTCCTTCCTTCCTCCCTCCCTCCCTCCCTCCCTCCCTCCCTCTT